CTTCGCCACCCCCTCCGGACCAGCCGCAGCCACAGCGCCCCGGGCGGACTGGGGGGGCCACTGCAGCGGGGTCCGCCCAGGGCCGAGCCCGGGGTCGCGCAGCCCGGTCTGGGCCCCTGGGGGTGCTCGGGGCGGGGCCGGGGCGAGCTCCCAGCGGGAGCCCTTGGCCCATCCGAGCGGGCCCGAGCCGTGCCGAGGTCCACTCCGGCTCAAAGCTGCCCCTGCCCCCTCCGCGGGTCACTCCCGCTTCGGGACAAAGGACTCTCTGTGTCGCCGCCTTATCTCCGTTCCCGGCGATAGCTGGTCTTTCTCGGGAAGCCCAACTCCTTCCCAGGCTGGGGTTCCTTCCAGCCGGGGCTCCCCTTCTGGACGTCCCCCCAAAATCTCACCTCTAAGATGGACTGCGTGCCCCGAAGGTCGCGGCCCGAATGAACTCAATAGATTAAGTGCGGCCCCAGAGACCTGGGTTTTGCCTGCGTGGCCATCCCTGGCCTTGGTCTCCTGAACACTACCGAGCGCTTCATCTCACGGCTTTGTGTGTAATGTAGAACGTTGCTTTGAAAAGTAACCAAAAGTGCGCCTAACAAATACGGGGATTTTTAAAAAATTACTGAATCGTAGATTGTCAAACGGACATGATGACTTTTCTCTCCCCGAGGGGGTTAAATGTCCTTCCACTACCGCCACTGTCCATTTACTCCCGCTCTTTTCCCCCCATAACCGCGTGGTCCCAGCGGAGAGGCGAACTATAGTTCCCAGAATGCCTCGCGAGGGCTCAAGGAACTACAATTCCCAGTGCTTCCTGCGGCAGGGCGGGGTTGAGGCAGAACCACAAAGCCGGGCCGGGAAACTACAACTCCCAGGGTGCTCCGGGGCAGTGTTGCTGCACTACCGGGAGCAGGCGGAGGCTCGCAGGAGGCAACCCTGAGGTCTGGGTTCAAAAGCCCAGGGTCAGGAGCCGCAGGCATGCTGCGTCCCAAGGCTTTGACCCAGGTGTTAAGCCAGGCCAACACTGGAGGCGTCCAGAGCACCCTGTGAGTGCGGACCGAGGACCCGCGCGGCGAGCACGGGAGCGGAGCCGCGCGCCGCCATCCGAGGGAGGGGTGGGGAAGGTCTCCGGGAAGGGAGGGGGCGGCAGAGTGGGCAGCCGCCTTGGAGGGCCCCTCTCGAAAAGGGACCAGACGTGCTGGATGCCGTGGGCACGGTCCAGGACACACTCAGCCCGGACTCTTGCTATCTAGAGGCGCCAGTGATGGGAGCTGGGATGGGAACCCAGGCCTCTTACTTCCCATCCTGAGCAAGTCTCTCTCCCTCCCGGTGCCTCGCCAGGCTGCTGAATAACGAGGGGTCTCTGCTGGCGTACTCCGGTTACGGGGATACAGACGCCCGGGTCACTGCGGCCATCGCCAGCAACATCTGGGCCGCCTACGACCGGAACGGGAACCAGGCTTTTAATGAAGACAATCTCAAATTCATCCTCATGGACTGCATGGTATGGAGAGGGGAGCTACTTCCACTGTCCCCTCCAGGCGATCCCCACGGGGCACCTGGACCCAGTCCTGGATGGTTGGAGGGGCAGGATTTCCGGAAGATTGCTAAGAGTTGGCCCGCAGCAGCATTTATAATAGGCAGACCCCTATGAATCAGGTGGTGGTGAGGCAGGCGCCCCAGCCCCGGGGTCTGCCTGGGGTTCTGGTCTCAGCCAGCGGCTTAACACCTGTGGAACCTGGGGTAAGTTACCGAACCTCTCTGAGCTTCCTTACCTCAGCTCAGAGGTGGAGACGATAATCTCCCTACGCACACACACCCCCCTCACAGGGTCGTCGTGAAGATCAAATGAAAGTGTAGCTATAAACTGTAGAGTGACATGCACACAGAGTGCTGTCATCCCAGATTCACTGCCTCACAGAATCATGACAGTCTCCAGACCCTTGTCTGATGCCTCCAGTCTCCTCAGAAGGGAGAAGTCCAGACAGGGGAAATGGCCGTTAGGCTGCAAATGTCTCAGAAACAGACACTGTCTCACAATCACCTTTGTATCTGTCTAGTCAACACGCATTTAGGTCCCTGCAGTGTCCTCAGGACTGAGGGGAAAGTGGCAAACAGGACAGACAAAAACGGCAGCCCTAACGAAGCTTACAGCCTAATTACCTATGTCTTCAAATAAGTAAAATGTGAATGTCTTGTAAATTGTAAATATGTTTTATACAATAAGTAAAATAGACATGTAAGTTTGAAGAATAGTTCATCAGATAATGAAAATGCTATGGACAAAAATTAAACGAGGAAGTGAGATAGGGCGGGGCCTGTGTGGAAAAGGTCACATTTCATCATAGATTTGAGGGAAGTTGGCGAGCCACGTGGCTGGCAGGGGGCGAACAGTCCCGAGGGTGAGAACAGCAAGTGCAAAGGCCCTGTGGCAGGATGGTGCCTGGTCAAGGATCGACACGGTTGCTTGTGGCTGGAGTGGCCTGAGAATGGGGGAGGTTATGGGTGAGGCCAGAGAGGCGGGGGGTGTAGACCTGGTTCCTGGCACTCCGTGGGTGCCTAGTGCTGAAGCGAAATGAACAGGCCCCCTAGAGAAGCGTTCCCACTGGAACTCAGCTGCTACCTCTTCCTCAGCCCCTGCCCACCCAGCGATGCATTTCGGTTCAGCCGATGACTCCTGCTGGGTGCCTCGCCTAGAGCTGGTGCTGTAGGACAGGAGCCTTCCAACGTGTGAGCACGACCTAGCCATGAGATCGCACCGAAGTCAGAGCTCAGTGCACGGTGCCCCCACTAAAGCAGGCTCCGTGGAACAGCACCTCGCTGCGTGCAAGGCCCCGTTTCTCCTTTCCTTTTTCTTTTAACGCTGATCAACCTTCTTAGTTGATCTCCTAACCCTGGGTCAGACCCGCAGCTTGGAAAACACGGCGTGGGAAGAGAAATAGAGGCGGGCTCGCTGCCCTCCAGCGCCTTGCAGGGTCGCCCGTCCGGATAGCCCTTTGCAGACACGGAAGTCCTTCCTGTACCCTGCACCCTCGCCGGCCGGGGTGGTTAGAGCTCACGGAAAGAGAAACCGAGTCTCTGGGAGATAGAGTTTTCCCGGGTCACTTGGTTAGCAAGTGGCTGTGCTGAGGCAGGACCCTATGTCCAGGGCCGTGGTCAGCTGAAGCTCCTGCCATGCCCAGGGTGTGGAAGGAAGGTACAGTGTCTCTCAAGAGGAGCCCCTGGGAAAAGAGGGGACCCGGGATGCAAAGCAGAACACTACACCCCCTGATGTCACCCCACCAGGAGGGCCGTGTGGCCATCACTCGGGTGGCCAACCTGCTGCTGTGCATGTATGCCAAGGAGACCGTCGGCTTCGGGATGCTCAAGGCCAAGGTGTGTATGTCTCTTCCCTCCACGCCCCTGGGCCCGGCCTTCATGCTCCACCCCCGTGACCACTCCCGTCCCCGCCGCTCCCCACCGCTGTCCTGGAGTCCTCCTGTCGCCCCGTCCATGTCTGGGGGGCGGGGCTGGGTGCTCAGCATTGGATGTCGACCAGATTTGGGACCCCTCGCGTCAGGCCAGGTGTGGGACCGGTTTCCCCTCCTCCTCTCGCAGGCCCAGGCCTTGGTGCAGTACCTGGAGGAGCCCCTCACCCAAGTGGCAGCATCGTGACAGGCATCGCGGGACGCTGGGGCCGGGCCGGGCCAGAGAGATGCCCTTCGGAGGGGCAGGGCCCCCTGGGGAACCCTTCTAAGGCTGTGGGGGGAGAGTGGACTTTGTTTTTTCCAAGAATAAATTTTAGTCCCGTTGCGCCTGGGTTGCTGTCTTGGCTGGGAGGAGCGGGGCCGGCCTGGGCCCTCCACGGCCTGCAGCAGCCGGATGGGTCACATGGGTCAGGCAGCGGTGCCTCAGCTCCCTCGGCCTGTCCAGCGGTGTGGCCTCCCCTGGTCCCCGCCTCTCAGCAGAACCTTTCCCCCCCGGGTGGCAAAACCTGGCACGTGACCAGTGGGGGTCATGGTGAACAAAAACCACGGGGCCCCAAGCTTCAGTGTCCTTCGGCCCCGACGAGTGGGATGCCTCCTCTACTCTTGGGGTTCGGAGGGGCCACCCCTTCTCTTCTGGGCACTCACACGCTTACACGGACCTCCAGGGACAGACAGGATGGTTTGCTGTGTGGCCTCAGGTCCTGGCGGTGACCTCTCAGGGGCCTTCGTCCCCAGTCCGGCCCCTACACAGCCCCTCACCCCATCTGGTCGCTTCTGCCCCAGGTCTCCCCTTACCAGTGTCCCTAGAGCAGGTCTGAGTGGGGACCCATCCCAGGGGAGCAGGTAGGTGGCAGGATGCAGCTCTACCCAGGGTGAGAACCTGCCGCGCCCAGGTCTGGGCCTGTCGGGGACCAGGGATGGGCAGAGGTCGCCGGACCCGAGGTGCAGCTGCGTCCACAGCTGTGCATGGCGGCAGGGGGTCTGCATGCCGCCTGCCCTTCCTCTGGTGCCCCGGTTGCCCCGCACCAGAGGCTCAAAAGGAAAAGCAGGCCAAGCAGGTTCCTGCTCTGAAGGACGTGCGGGTCCCAGGAGCCAGCCACACACTCGGCCCTCAGCCGTCTCTCCGGAGGTCCTGTCGCCGGCCCAGCTTCCCCCCCTGTCACCACCAAGCCTGCTCAGAGGAGACACCCAACCTGCCTAACCTGTCTGACGTCACCGTCTCTCCACCCACCTGGGCCCCAGGTCCCGCGCCTGCCCTTCCTGTTCTCCGCTTCCGTCTCTCCCTACAGCGGGGCCACCTGCCAGAGCCCAGCGCCCCAGGCCCCGCCGGCCCTGCCCGCCCTCCACCCCTGGCTGTGGAAGCTTCTTCACCCCCAATGAGAGGACGGGAGGATCCCGGTCTCTTGAGAGCTGAAGGCTGAGGGCAGTGAGCCAGCACGTAGACCCGTCACCTCTGTCCTCAAAGACACCTGCGCCCTCCATGCGGAGCCAAGATGGGGAGCAGGGCCGAGGAAGATTATAACTTTGTCTTCAAGGGTGAGTGGGGTTCACCCAAGGGGAAGCCTGGGAGAGACCCAGGAAGGCAGCGGCCGAGCAGAGGCCCCCCTGGTGTTCTTCAGTCGTACCGAGGCCCCCCAGGGCTTGTCATTCCGATGGGAAGGCGAGCTGCGGGGAGGGGGACGGTCTGGTTTCTGGACGGGAGCCGGGGCGGCCGAGTGCCCTACGGTGGCAGACGCCGGTGCCACTCACTCCCTAGCAGTGCCGGGTTAGGGTGCTCAGCCCGTTCCCAGTGGAGGGCCAGATCCCTGGGGACAGTCGCGCCGCAGCCCTGGAGATGGAGGTCAGACTTCAGAGGGGACTTCCCTGCCAGGAAGGAGGGGCGCGAGCAGACTCGAGGAAGAAAGCCATTTTCTGCGCGGTGCATATGTGGAAAGGGGGAGAGAGCAGAGGTCGCCCGTGCTGGGGCCGGGCAAAGACGCGGGGAAGACGCAGCCCCCGGGCAGAGAGGCGGCTAGAACCCGAGGACTCCCAGGGCCGTGGCCGTGTCTGCCTGCCCCTTGGCCCACCTGCACTGGCTTCGGCGTGGCTGGCCTGGACGTGCGCCCGCTCGTTTCCTGCTGTCACCTCAGCCCCTGCGTGGCCCACCATCCAGCCCAGCCCCCCCACCACCCCCACCTCCACACCTCCTTCGGGACAGGGTGGACCGGCAAAGCCGATTCCCTCTCCAGCCGCCCCGCCCCGCTGCCTCTCCCGGACTCCGCCCCGCCCTCACCTGGGCCTCCCAGGTGACCTCTCTCTCAGGCATTGGGGAACCTGAACTCCCAGCATCTTTCCCAGGAAGGGAGCTGGGCCCAGGGTTCGGCATCGTCTGGGGCAGCAGTGCTGTGAGTAACTGCCGTTCACTGAGCCCTCATGACGTGCCAGCCACCAGCTCGTCAGTCACCATAACGACCCCAAAAGTTACCTTTCGTTTTGAAAGCATGTGGTCAGGAGCCAGACTGAGTTCAGTTTCAGCCCTGCCACTTACTGCTTATTACAGGTTGGGGTCTCCAGAGAAGACATTGGGGTGCAAGAGGTTTCTTACGGACCAACACCAGTGAAAGGAAGGGGGAGGAACGGGACTGGGCAGAGAGGGGAGTCAAAACGCAAGGCAGGGTCACGGAGCCTCGGCCAGGGGAGGGAGCCCCGTGACACCGTCACCGTGCTGGGGCGCTAGATGCAGGCTGCCCAGGACAGCTGTGACCTCAGGTGAGGCTGCTCTCCGCACCAGAGGCAGATGCTGAAGGAGCGGACAGCCAGAGACTGCCGACTGCGCTCCCAGGGCTGGGACAGACCCCGCCTGGCACACCTGGGCAGCGCACGGGTGTTCAACGCCAGGCTGGCTGCGTTGTCTTGTTCCGGTCATTCAGCCCCCCAAGCGCCTCCTTTCCTCGTCTGCGAAAACGCACGACGATGACGATGATGATGGTACTTGTCTTGCGGCTCTGCCCTGAGGGTTAAAGGAGTCGATGTGTGTAAAACCTTCAGCAGAGTGAGTGAGTCGGCACAGCGAGTGTCTCCACGTCACGGCCGAGGACGATGGAGAGTAAGCAGCTTCCAAAAGGTCACAAAGGCAGCACAAACCCGAGTCTGTCTGATGACAAAGCCCTGAGCACCTTCGAGGCCCACGGATGGGGTTAGGCACCCGCCCACGGGGAGGGATGAGTGGGGATGCGTTTCGGTAGGGGAGAGGCAGGACCACACCCACACGCACCCACACTGCTCCCAGCTCTCCCCTGCCTTACACAAACAAGGAATTTTTTACAAACAAGGAAACCGAGACCCAGAGGAGATGAGCCACTTGCTCGAGGCCACAAAGCTAGCAGAGGCTGAGAGGGATCAGAGCCCAGAACACGTGGCTCCCAGTCGTTGGGCACCAGCTCGCCTTTCCAGAACCCCGGGTGGCCTCCCGTAATCCTGGGCGCCCAGCTCAGGGCCGGTCTAGTCTGTGGGTCTTACGCACAGCAGCCCAGCCCTCCTGCGGTGGGTCAGGCTGGCGCTGGACCCCGCCCTCCGGCTCCAAGGCTCTTCGTGGCCCTTCTGGGGGGCCACTGTTCCTGAAAACCCGAAGGGAAGAGCACTGGCCCACCAGCAGGTCATGACAGCGACATTCTGGGCCCTGTGTCTTTACCCACGAGACAGGTTCTATTGTTCCTATTTTTTGTAAGAAAAAGGTCAGAGAGTGTAAATCACTCGCTGAAGGGCACACAGGTGGTCTAAGGCCCAGCCCTTGGTCTCCGCCCGGGAAGGCTGCGTCTCCTTGGGGACAACTGGGCCCTAACTTCTACACACTCCCCGCCATTCCTCCCTACCAAGGCGAGCGAGCCATCTGCCAAACTCCCCCCCACACTTCCATTCACACCTCCACCCCTCCCGTGCACACGCACACCAGCCTCCCACTCGCATGCATGCAAACATGCGTGTGCTCACGGCCCTGCGCCAGGGGGGTGCACCCTCCCCCAGACCTACACCCTGCCCACGGCCACGCCCCTGCTGTCCTGCCACTCAGCGCCCGAGCACCGACGCCCACGGGCGGCCCAGAGAACTCCAGCCTTGTCTCAGCAGACGGGGCCTGGAGCGCTCGGCCCCTCGGCCCGACGGGCCCATCGCGCGGAGTCGCAGACCCCAGCCTCTGCCAGGACCTCTCTGGCCGGCCTCAGTCTTCTGCCCTCCTGCCCCTGCTGGCGTGCAGGCCCCCCCATCCCCCGGCTGCAGGGGACCGACGCCCACGGGCGGCCCAGAGAACTCCAGCCTTGTCTCAGCAGACGGGGCCTGGAGCGCTCGGCCCCTCGGCCCGACGGGCCCATCGCGCGGAGTCGCAGACCCCAGCCTCTGCCAGGACCTCTCTGGCCGGCCTCAGTCTTCTGCCCTCCTGCCCCTGCTGGCGTGCAGGCCCCCCCATCCCCCGGCTGCAGGGGTGGGGGCTGGCGGCTCCACCCAGCTCAGCCTGGCCTCTCCACCCCTCCAGTGGTGCTGATCGGCGAGTCGGGTGTGGGGAAGACCAACCTGCTATCCCGGTTCACGCGCAACGAGTTCAGCCACGACAGCCGAACCACCATCGGCGTCGAGTTCTCCACCCGCACCGTCATGCTGGGCACCGCCGCTGTCAAGGCCCAGATATGGGACACGGCCGGCCTGGAGCGGTACCGAGCCATCACCTCGGCGTGAGCCCGGGCCGGGGGCTGGCTGCGGCGTGGGGTGCTGGGGAAGTCCGGGAACGCTCTGGGGGACAGGCGGAGCGTGGGGGAGGAGGCGGGGCCCCCAGTGGCAGCGTGCTGGCCGTCCCCCGCCACTGAGAAGGCACCAGACTGCCAGCCACAGGTCCCAGCCAGGGCAGGGTGATACTGACTCCTGGGCTTGGACTAAGTCACTGCAGCACGGCCTTTGCTATGTGCCGAGCAAGGTACAGGCACTTTACGCTGGGTATTTTAGGTGTTCCTCCAGGTCCCATGGGAGTGAGGTGCTGTCATCCACCCCTGTTTAAATACAAGAGCCTTGAGGCTTCGTGGGGGCTGGGATGGGGGCAGGCCCGGGGCAGGGAGCACCCTCGCTCAAAGGTGCAAGGCTGGCCCCTCGGACAAGGACTCAGAGGACACCCAGGAAATTAGGCCTCCCGACACCACAAGCAGAGTGGCTTCCGGTCAGTGGGAGGCCAAATGTGAGAAGGGCGGTCTGTGAGCGTGTGGCCGGGGCAGGAGGCAGGGGGCAGGGGGCAGGGCTTTGCTTACACACACTCATCACTCGGGCTGGTCACCGGACCTCTTACGAGCCACAGCTGACTCCTCAGTAAAATAGGAGTGGTTAGGTGTCACCGGTCTGAAGAAGCTGCATCGACCCCCGGGAGTGGGAGTGGCTGGCTGCTTGCGAGGGTGCGGCAGGGTGCCATGTCAGGGAAAGACGCCTCGAGAGAGACAGAGACGAGGGCACTGAGGGCCGTGGAGCCGGGAGGATCTGGGGGCGGGGGCATCCGGGAGGCCGACCGGCGCAGAGCCCAGGTGTGTGCTGGCGGATGGCAGGGGCTAAAATCGGGACCGAGGGCCTGAGGCGGAGGGGCTGCGAGGGAAGGAGGGAGCCAGCGGTTTCCAAGCGGGGCGGGGGGCCGTCAGGCTCCCAGACCAGGGCTCCAGAAGGTGCTCGGAGCCCGGCGCCAGCCCCGTCTGGGTCTGCCTCCCCGGGCCCAAGCCCCGATCGGTGGGACGTGTCCCGGCTTTGTGGCTCGAGGGCCCTGACCTGGCCTCTGCCCACACAGGTACTACCGTGGCGCAGTGGGGGCCCTCCTGGTGTTTGACCTGACCAAGCACCAGACCTACTCCGTGGTGGAGCGCTGGCTGAAGGAGCTGTACGACCACGCCGAGGCCACCATCGTTGTCATGCTCGTGGGCAACAAGAGTGACCTCAGCCAGGCCCGGGAGGTGCCCACTGACGAGGCCCGCATGTTCGCCGGTGAGCCCCGCGGCGGCCTGAGCCCCTCTGCCCGCCCCCCCGACCTTGTGCCCCTGTGTCCCTCACTATGTCCCACCACTTGCCCTGAGAGTGTCGTTATGGGCAACTGTTTACACTGGATGTTAAGACAGCCCCGCCCTGCAGCGCTCAGAGATGCTCGTGCATGTGGGGCTCTCACCGCCTGCGTCACACCTGCCCCCGAGTCCTCCGCAGTTTGGAGGCAGCCAGAGCAGCGTTTGTGCGTGGACGCCCGAGTCCCACGGCCCCACGCCGTGGCCTGGCCAGTTCCTAGACACGGGGCCCCGAGCAAGTTCTTTTTCGTTCTTTCTGCGTTTCTGGGTGGTCAGGCCTGCCTCACAGGTGGTTCTAAGAATCAAGTGGGCGACACGGGCCAGGGGTTAGCACGCAGTAAACGTGAAGTAAATATTATTACCGTCGCCTCTGACCCCACAGTTAACGGTGCGTTTCCTTTCCTGTCAGAAAACAACGGGCTGCTGTTCCTGGAGACCTCGGCCCTGGACTCCACCAACGTGGAGCTGGCCTTCGAGACTGTCCTCAAAGGTTAGAGCTCCGCTCCGTCCGGCACCCCGTCCCATCCCCGAGGCTTCCAGAGGCTTCCATGGGTGGTGGGAGGAATGCAGACACCCAGCCTTCTCCGCCCTCTGGCTCCTCAGCCCTCCTGGGGGCCCCTAGCCTCCCCCTCAGGCCTCTCCCCTCAGCACCCCCCGCCCCAGCCTGGAGCTTAGGAGCCAGGTGACCGAGACTCAGTCCCACTCCGCCCAGGTAAGTAGAAGGGACTCAACTCCACTTCCTTCTGGCAAAACCTCGCGAAAGTGTGACCCCCGCCCTCACCCCCAGCTCTCAGAAGGGGACACGCGGTGTGTGCACGGGAGTGTGGGCTCCAAACCTCCTTCTGACCTGACTGCTGCCCTCTGCCCGCCCAGAGGTGTTTGCAAAGGTGTCCAAGCAGCGGCAGAGCAGCTCCCGGACCAGCACCATCACTGTGGGCGGCACCCAGGCTGGGCAGGAGCCCGGCCCTGGTGGGAAGCGGGCCTGCTGCATCAGCCTCTGACCTGAGCTCGGCCAGCCATGTCCCCCAAGCCCAGCCAGCCCCTGCCCTGCGGTTCCGGATGTCACCGTGGCCAGTCCCCATGCGCCCCCAACAGAGCTCTAGGTCTCCAGGCCCCGCCCACATGCCGCTGTCATCCGCCACCCCCACAGACCAGGGCCCTGAATAAAGCTGTTTTGTATCAACGCCCGGCCGTCCCGCTGCCTCCTGTCTGTGCCTCCCCTTCAACTCCAGTCCCTCCTCTGAGTCCCTGTTCCCCTTCCCCTCCCCCGCCACCCTCCCCACTGTCCCCACGGCCCCCCCAGGGCCAGCTGCCTCTGGAGTCCTGCGGTCTGGGGACAGTGCCAAGGGGGTGGGAGGTGCTCGCCCGTCCCTCTGCCAGCCCCCAGTGCAGGTGGGGGAGGACAGCATGGCAGAGGGGCTATCTCTGGGAGAGACAAAGGAAACCATCGCGGGCACCATCTGCTGCCCAGGGCCCCGGTGCCAAGAGCTGAGGTCACGCCAACGCCGGGGTGAGGGGAGGAGGCAGAAGGGAGACGGCAGGGAGAAGGGGAGTCGGGGTCAGCCCTGTTTGTGGGGTGCGTGCTGGGGAAAGACGGGGTTCAGCTTAGGAGGCGGCGGCTCCAGGTCTTCAATCCGGCTTTCCTCCTGACCCCAAAGAAGAGGGGCTGTGGTGTGCGGGGCCAGGTTGACTCTGGTGGGGAAGTCCTGTTTCTCAGGCTCTGCCTCTTCTCCATGGGGCCCCCAGCCTCTCCATCGAGGGTGGACGGAGGTCTGACTGTACCCCCAAGGAATAGACAGGGGTAAATGGGGAGAAGGGAGGGGATGGGATGTTGGGTCTCCAGCCAGGAGCAGTGAAGAACAGGCAGGAGGGGCCAGCCACTTCCTGTGAGGTGGGCAGGGGCCCCCAGAATCGCTGGAGAAGGCCCCCCCTCCAGTCCCCACAGGCAGACACAAAAGCCAGAGCCTTAAGTAATAATCCTTTTAATAAAATTAAGTTCTTAATAGCACATTTAATACATTAACCCTCCCCCTTCTTGGTTTCTCTGCATTTTGTGCAACATCACTTTGACTAGATTATTCATGGGTCCGTTTTGTTTCCCGCCTTTATTTTGCTTTTGAACTATTTTTCCTCGGTGGAGTCCTGTGTTCTCACTAGAAGCCTCAAATTAAGTCTGACCACGATCCTACTCTACTTTCTACAGCCGAGAGACCACCCCCTGCCCCAGGGCTGTCTCCGCCCACCCCCCCTACCCCACCCGCACCCTCGAGCGGGAAGGAAGCCCCCCCCACCCTAGACGCTACCTTCCCAAACTAGCGGGGTTTCTAGGACAAAAAGAGCAGGGGCACTGTCCCTAGGTGCGGCGAGAAGTCGGCTGGGGAGAGGGAGATGCGTTTGGGGTCTAGGGCCAGGAAGGGCATGGCAGTCATTGGTGTCACGGAGCAGGGTCCTCTTGGCAAAAAGAGCCGAGGGGCCCTGCACCCCCCCGGATGGCCTCGGGGGCGGGGCCTGACCTGGCGACAAGCCGGGTTGCTGGAAGGCAAGTGCTCGAAACACGGATTTCTCGCATGCAAAAGCCAAGCTCCCCAATTTCCCGTGGGGAGAGCGATGAGCCCTCCAAGCCGGGGTACGGTGGGTGACCCCTACCTAAACGCTGACAGATGGAGGTGGGCCGGAGCAGAGAGGGTTAGGGTCGGGTCCCCTAGTCTCTGCTGCCCTCTCCCCGCCTCCGCGCCCTGGGGCCCCTTTTCCCGAGCCTTCAAGGACGGCGTCTCCGCCCCACGCGCCCCCGGGGCGGCGAGTCCTTGGACTCCAACTTCAGTGAGACAACGAACCACTTTGCAAGGCTGTAACGCGCAGCTCTTAAGGAACGATCGAGATTGTTACTCCTGTCGCTCGTTGCCCAAAGCTAAGTGGAATGCTGGGTGGGAGCAGGGACGGGGAGGGGAGGGAGCCCTCTGTCCCCTCGGAGCTCTGAGAAGGTGGAAAGTGCGTGCGTCTGTCTGTGGAGTGACCTACCAGGCTCTCGAACCAACCTGCAGCGGAGGGGGGGTGAGGTCACACTCCAAGGGCGGCCTCGTTTGGGCCCCGGAGGGTGGGGGCTGGGCAGTCTCCACCCTCCATTCTGTCCCCAGGTGCCTGGGCGCGGAGCAGAGTCACCCTCCCTTGCTGCCCCCACCTGGTCGACATGATCAGCGCTCGTCCTTTCCAAGACCCTGGGAACCGAGCCCCTCACCGATTTGTCCTACAAGTTAAAAAGCCAGGGGTTCTCAGAATCGACCCCCGCAGACCGGAAGCCCGCACTCTGGCATCTGAAGATGGGGTGACTCGGACACTTGCCTCTACTTTCCTTTCCTTACTTTTATACATTCTACTGGACCCCGGGGGTCCGCAACGCTACTAAACTTTAAGCTATCTGAATATCATCTACTAAGTAACTAGTAATTCTTTCTCTTTTTCTCTAGGATTATATGAAATAAATTTGAATTATTATTATTAATAATTATTTTGTAGTATTCTTTTCTTTTAAACCCCTCGGTTTCTTTTTCTTCTCTCTCGTTTTTGGTTAAAAAAATTTTTTTTTCTCTTAAATCTCACACCTCTCTGAGGGGCCTGTGGGCCTGCTGGGCCTGCTCCGGCGTCTCCTCCCCATTCGCCCTGGGACAGGGCAGTGGAAGGGGGGGGCGGCGCCCCAGGTCCTCAGTCCTCCAGCTTCCTCCTTTCTTGTTAATCCCTTTCTTTGTTTGGCTCTGCCGGCCGCCCCGAGGGGGAGGGGAGAGGGGAAGGGAGCCCATGGAGTGAAATCCTATCCACTTGCAGGGCTCCAGAGGGACACGTTCCCCCAGCCCCTGTCTCCGCCATCCGTCCCAGGATGCTCTCCCCCAAGAGCACATGACATTCCTCCCCAAAAAAAAGTGGGGGAAAAAAGGAACGTAAACCCGAACATATATTAAAAACACTTTTTTAAGATTTAACTCTGAATACAAATGTATTTTTTTCTTCTCTCCCTACATATATTCTAAACCTTCTAAAGTTTTTTTATTTTTTTTAAGGATCACTTTATCATAAAATAAAATATCCTTTTTCATATAATAAATTACCTAATAAAAAGTCTTTTTTTTTTTCATATTAGCCCAGGTTCTTTGCTACATTTATACGGTAATAAACACCTTTATTAAAATAGAATATTAAATTATAAAGAACTGTTTTTTCTTTTTTTGCTATTTGTTTTCTCTCCTCTGTTGGTCGCCTACCTCACTCCCTCTCACGCTCTCTCTCTCCTGTATTTCGTCTCTCGCTCTGTGTATTTCGCGTTTGTTTCTAGGTCTGGCTCGATTAGGAAGGGTGAGATTGAATATTCTGAGCCCCCTAGTGTAACAGTCTTCCGCCTTTGTGGGGAAGGAGTGGAGAGGGGGAGGGGGGTCGACAGACGGACATCCCACCCCCACCCCGCCCCCCACCCCGGGCGACAGAGGGTGCCCATTTTGGTTTGGTTTCTATTGTACAGATATCTCAGGATGGCTCACATCTGCAGGGAGGAGGGAAGTTGTCGCAGGCCAGTCTTCCTGGCCGTGACCTTCCTCTCCTCTCCCAAGCTGGTGGTCTGGAGGGAAGGCCGAGAGGTGAGTTCATTCACAACAGGAGGAAGGAGAGGAGGAAGTCCCCTCTGTACCCCCATCCCTGCACCCCCTCTCCACCCAGGAAGAATGGGACTCCAGAGCTTAGGTGCTCGGAGCACACCCACAACAGTCCCACCCCATTATTTACAAGAATCTCCAGGGACTCCCCCCACCCCCCACCCTCTCCTGGCCCGGCCCGCAGAACCAGGAGGGTGGGAGGCTGGTGGCGAGTGAGCGGTAGGGAGGCAGCAAAGGGGGCCGGAGGCCTGTGACAACCCATGACTCCCAACAGGCTCTGAGCCCCTAGTCCTGCTTGGCCTTGGACTGACCCCTCTCTGAAGATGTGGCTTCTCTCAACCACAACAGGTAGGACACACTTCACGATTTGCTCTGAATACGGGTTGGGGTCAGGTCCAGGAAGGGGCACGGGGAGGGGGCCCCCACAGCCTCTCCTGCTCCCTGAAACAGCAGACCCACTACCTGGCTCTGCCCCGCCCACTGCTGGGACATCCAGCGCGGGGGGGCTGCTCCCTAAACGTAATGCCCAGAGATGGCAAAGGTGGAGGGGCGGCCCTTCTGTACCCCAGTATTAGTCCCCTCCTCAAATATTCACTGAGAACGGGGATACATTCCATGAAGAATTTGAGGTGTTTCTTTGGAGGAGCGGGGGAGAGGGCCTCCAGGTGCCAGAAGAGGAATTAGGGGCGACCACCAAAATGTCCTCTCTACAACTCCCCAGGAGGATGGTGTCCCCAAAGCTGGGCTGGACAGGGCAGGAGGGAGAAGGGAAGGAAGAGACAGGGTGGGAGTGACCACGGCCACCGAGGGGAAGTACAGGGAAGGCCTGGGGAACAGGGCACAGTCAAAGGAGAGTCCGCAGGGGGCAGAGGGGAGAAGCCGGACGGGGCAGACACAGGGCAGACGGAGCCCCTCCAGCCCAGCTTTGTCGGGACGGACAGGTCTGAGCCCTTTATTGATTGACTCGCTTCCCCCTCCCCCCACAATCGATGTAGGCTTCTGAAAGGGCCCCAAGCCTCTCCCACTGCTGAAAACCCAGGAACAGAGTCCCAAGCTGGATATGGCAGTGGAGGGCCCCGAGGGCCATGTTAGGAGGTGGGACATCACGACCAGAAGGCCTGAGGATGGGAAGAGCACCTCTGGGTAAGGGATGGCGATTCTCCCCCTCCCCTCCCCTGCCCTCCCCTCCGCAGAGGGAGGGGTAGTGTGACACAGGCTGGGAGGCGGACAGAGGGGGGTCGGGACGCTTTAGCTGCCACCTCTGGCAAAATATAAGTTCCTTTTAGCTGCTTGCAGACTGAAGGGTGTGTTGAGGTATCAGAGTTGTAACTCTAGTCAATTTCCGGTCCGGCCCCCTCCCAACCTTTCCAGGACAGGGTGACCAGAGGCTCTGAAAGTGGCCCACCCTCCAGCCACCATCGCCCCCCACCCCCCAGCGAGCAAGTATCTCTAAGCACCTTGCCCCTCAAATGACTGGTTCCCAAAAGGCCCTAGT